TTTTTTGCAGGGCCCTACAGGTGTACAACGATTGTCAGACAATCACTGCCGATCGCGATATCACAGGTTGCTGCTGTGATAACATCAACAATTGCAATGCAGCCAATTATTCTCTGGGAACACCCCGACCACGTTGGGAGGGAGATTTCCCAATTGCATGTTTTTCCGGGATTCGTGTGAATCAGAACTGGATCACGCCAGGAGGGTAAGGCATCTTGTTGTTCGATTTCTGCTGCGGAGTCACGCAAAAATTTGGTTTTTAGATGGACAGCATGTTCGGGAGATTGTGCTTCCGTTAGGATCGACACGATGATTTCGGGAGCACCCTATAGCGCTGAAATTTTCACTTGTGATCCTGCTTCTGTCTGTAACCAGCTAGGTAGGTCCTCAAAACACTTCGGCTCTTAAAAACACCGACCATCAAGAAGTGTAGTAAGATTGATGTTGTGTAATAGCGGGGGACCCTGACTAAGTAATCGCTCAAGTTTCGCTGCAGAAGATGAATTTCAAAGCGAGAAAACCTCTCCAGAAAGAAAAAGCGACAAGGTAGCTATTCCCATCAAGTGGGTGATCTAAAGGTAATTGGTGCGAAATTTCACTTCATGAAGGTTGATATGTTGAAAACCTGGTAGTGATATGTTGAAAATCTGGTAGTCAGATAAAGGGTGGGTTGGGTTTGTGACATTGTCAGGTAATGATGCCCAATTTAGGACTTGTTGACTATTGAAACCCAAGCTGATGGGCGAAGCCATCTTGCCCCCCTGTCCTTTCTGGAGCGATTGTTTCGCTTCGGAATTATGTTCTGCAGTGGGACTTGGGCGATCACCTAGTTAGGGGCTTCATTATCATACAGCATTGAAAACGCACCCTGTTCCACTCAGTCTGAGTCGACAGTGCTTTTAAAGAAATGAAAAATTCCCCATTTAGGTATGGTAAATAACTGCACTATGGTAGAACCAGGAGTTAGCGGGTGCTGCTGCTCTTACGATGCTTGCCTTGACCCCACCAGATATCCAAACAAGGTTACAGCCCAGGGCTTGCTCTCAAACAGAAATTTTATTCTTATTTATTACAGTACCCCGGCGATCCTCTCAAATGCTATGTTGGTTTCCAAACGACATACAACGGAGGCATGAATGTCGGGTCAGAGGTGAGGACGACATCAAATCACTTATTCTCCTGAGGGTCCTATCCAAACTTAAATCAGGTTTACTGCAATGGAATGTGCGGAGCGCTTAATACTTTTGTTAGTGGAGAAAATGTCACCACCTATATGTGCACACCCAGAGCTGTTTGCAGGTAAGAGAAGGTCTCGACGAGATTTTCGGACATTTTTTAAGAAGTCATTTTCAACAGGCAACTGGAGTTGTACGACGAATGGAAGCGGTTACCCCTGGATCGTGAAGTCCGGGCTCTGTGCTGTGATAACTTTAACTACTGTAATGTTCGTGACCCTTC